GCAGGATTTTGAGGCCACCGGGTCTGGGACGCGAACCGTGGTTGACTCCGTGGGAGTCCAGCGACATAGCCATTACACTAACTGCTGGTTCCCGATTTCCTTCTTTTTTAAATGTTAACTAATAGTCTGTTTTACGTATACACCATATTTTCTTTATCCATTCATCAGGCAATGGATGTTTGATTGCTAACATCTCTTGGCTATTGTGAACATATTGCAGTGAACATAGGTGTGTAAATATCTCTTTGAGATTTTATTTTCAATTATTTTGAATACATAGCCTTCCCATATTTTTTAATATTTATTTATTTATTTATGTATTTATTTATGTATTTATTTATTTATTTTAATTTAACCCAAGAGAGACACAGAGAGAGAAAGAAAGAAAGTGAGAAAGCAAGCCACTAGGTCCAGGGCTCGAACCGTGGTTGACCATGTGGGAGTGTCCAACGCCTTAGCCACCATGCCACCTGCTGGCTCCAGCCTCCCCATATTCTTAATTATTAAAAAGTTAATAACTATAAGAACTAATGAGAACTTACACTATCAACATAAGATATCTTTAATTATTAACCATCTGTGTTCCTGTTTAATACATTGCGAACAACCAATTGGAATTTTCATGGTGTTATATTGAAATGGGGTCATATACTTGTACTATCTAAGGAAATAAAAGGTAACTTATTCATGTAGGGATTGAGATTTCTTTCACAGCAAAAATTTGATTGTAGCTTATTTTTCAAGGTGTCAAGGCTGATATTTAAGCTTTTGGGAGGTTTTAGTTTTTTTTTTAACATTTTTTTCTTTAAAGAATTATTTTTATTTAAGTTTATTAGTTTATTTATTTATTTTGATTTGATCAGAGAGGGTCAACGAGAGAAAAACAGAGAGAGTAGAGAGAGGGAACTTGAGAAAGGAAGTAGCCAGGTCCAGGACCCAAACTGCGGTCAGCCATGTGGGAGTCCTGTGCCCCTAGCCACCGGCCGGCTCTGTTTTAGGTTTTTTATTGAAAACAATGAAAAGCATTTTCATTTTGGTTGTAGTTGTACACAATCCTTTATGACCTTTAGAAAGTTTTTTTTTTTTTTTTTATTTTACTCATGATCAAGAGCTCGAACATATGCACTAAGGTCTCGTACCATGCTCCCGTTTCCCTAGCCCTCCAGCTCTTCAGGATCCTGGCACACACACATGCCCAGTGTGTTTTCAGCCAACCAGCATGTTTTCAAGTCCTGGTCCAGGTGGCTTGAAAACACGCTGGGCATATGTGTGTGCATGCCCAAATTCCTGGAAGGAGGGAGAAGTGGAGAACGGACTGCAGCATGACCATTCTCCATGGGGGATGCTTTCTCCCTCTCCTTCGTTCTTTCTGTCTGGCAAATTAAGAAAAAACAGTGTTTGTTCTGAACCCGTGGTTGGCCATGTAGCTTTCAACTGCCACATCTGTTACATTGATACCACCAGGCTGGGCCTATGAGTTTTTTCCCATGTAACTTATATGTGTAGAAGTTAACTTATCTGGGGCTGGCTCTGTGGCCTAGTGTTTAAGGGAGCTGAATCCCATGTGGTTGACCATAATTCAGTATCCCAGCCCTGGCAACTTGAAAACATGCCAGGTGCATGTGCATGCTTAGCCCAAATCTTGACAGGATGGAGAGCTGGAGAAGGGATTGTGGCGTGACCACACCGCACTGAAGGGTGCTTTGTTTCTTCTCACTGTTTCTCTGTCTGAGGAGTCCATGTAGCTTCTGGCAATTAAAGTTATCTAGAAAGTAAAAATTAAAAAGAAATGTTTATCTTATATTAGCTTTAGATGTATAAGAAAGTTGTGAAAATAGTACAGAAAGTTCCCATAAACTGCAATTTCCCTTGTTGCTAACATTTTTCATTAGTGTGGTACATTTGTTACAATTAATGAATATTGATATGTTATTATTAAACATTATAGACTTTATATGTGTGTATACATATGTGTATGTGTATATATGTATGTATATATGTGTGTGTTGTGTGTATATATATTATATATATAATATATTATTTTTATTTATTTATTTATTTTTAATTTGCCAGAGGCTGCTTGTGCTTGCCAGAGAGAGTCAGAGAGAGGAGAATGAGAAAGCATTTCTCATGAGGGGTGGTCACACCACAATCCCTCCTCTTCATCTTTCCCTCCTTTCAGGATTTTGGGTATGCATACATGTCTGGCTTGTTTCCCAAGCCACTGGGTCTGGGACTCAAACCATCAGTTGGCCACGTGGGATGCAGCCACCTTAACCACCACCCATGGCTGGCCCAGACTTTATATATTTTAATCATGGTTGGTTGAATCTAGGAATACAGAACCTGCTGATGCGGAGGGCTCACTGGCCTGTGCTGTCTTATACAGGGGACTTGAGCATCCACAGATTTTGGTAGCCATGGGGGTCCTGGAACCAATCTCTTGGGTTACAGAGGGATGACTACATTCAGATTTCCTTAGTTTTTTATTTGTTTAAATTGAGGTGAAATGATGTAATATTAAATTAACCATTGTAAAGTGTAAAACCCATATTTTCGTACATTCACAATGTTGTTTAAGTTCTAAAACATTTAATCACCCTAAAAGAAGTCCTTGTATCCATTAAGCAGGTACACACAGTTATGGAAACTACGTCTGTCGTCTGTCTCTATGGATTGATCTATTCTAGGTATACCCGTAGGTGGAATCGTACACTATGTGGCCTCTCGTGTCTGCTGCTTTGATTTAGTGTACCGTCTCTGAGGTTCGTCCAGTTTATAACGTATATTTTCACTGTATGTTGATTCCATTGAGCGTGTCCAAGACACTGCCCAAAACCTCTAACTTTCCCATCGTGGCCTGTACCATTTTAAATTCCCACCAGTAATGCATGGTGGATCCAATTTCTTTATTTCCTTGCCAAAAAACCCTTTATTTCCTACTTCTTCTCCCCCACCTCCTCCTCCTCTCTCTCTCTCTCTTTTTTTAGAGTATAACTTAGTCAGTGTGAAGTGATACATCATTGTGATTGTGATTAGCATTTTTCTAATGGTGTTGAGCGTCTTTATGTGCCTTCTGGCCATTTGTGTGTCTGGAGAAATATCTATTTAAGTCTCTTGCCTATTTCTAAATTGGGTTTTTATCTTTTTGTTAGTTGTAAGAGTTATTTGTATATTCTGGATCTTCTTGAAGTTCATTGGACTTCTTGGATATTTAGATTTGTATCTTATAAAATTTGGGAAGCTTTCTGCTATTATTTCATCAAACATTTTTTTCTTTCCTTTTCTCTCTTGCTCCTGGGACTCCAATTTGTGTATGTCGGTATGCTTGATGGTGTCTGAGGCTCAATGCATCATTTTCTTCATTTTTTCCCCTATTTTTCAGACAGAATTATTTCAACTCACCTACCTTCAAGTTTACTGATTTAGATCTGCCACTGAATCCCTTTAGTGAATATTTTTCATTTTCATTTCAGTTATTTTATTTATTTATTTATTTATTTATTTATTTATGTTTTTTGCTATCAGGCATATGCGCTTGCCAGAAAGGCAGAGAGAGACAGAGACAGAAAACGAGAAATCACCTCCTCAGGAGGATGGCCATGCCGCATTCCCTTCTCCTTCATTCTCCTCTCGGGATCTTGGTCATGCATGCACACGCGCCTGGCATGAGTTTAAGCCACCAGGTCCGGCACTCGAACTGCGGTCAACTACATGGGAGTCCAGCAATGAAGCCATTATGCCAACTGCTGGTCCCTCATTTCATTTATTGTACTTTTCAGATCCAGAATATCTATTTGGTTCTGTTTTGTGTAACTTCTATTTTTGTTTTGGTATTCTGTTTGTTGATGCATTGTTCTCCTGGTTTCTCTTCATTCTTTGTCCTGATTTCTGTTTGGTAATCAAGCACATTTAAGACAGTTGGTTGAAAGTTTTTTTTTATCTAGTAAGCCTAATGTCTGCTTCTTCTCAGTTGGTGTTGATTTTGCCTGGAGCCCATTACCTCTGGACAAAAAAAAAAGAGAGAGAGAGAGAGAAAACTCTCCCAGTCTTTGCAGAATGACTCTGTGATAGGGCACATGGTTGGTGCTTAGCTTAATCTCTACCTTAGCCTTCATTTCCTGCTGTGCTAAGCCTGAAGATCAGCCCAAGATGAAAGCTTAGAGTCTTTTCTATTCCTCTGAGCATTCATCTTGCTCTGGGCCAATATGTGACTTCCTAAATTCCTATTTTTACTATTGCCAGGGCACTTCTCAAAGTTCTAATTTCCTGGGGCCAGCAGGTGGCATGGGGGTTAAAGGCGTTGGACTCCCACAGGGCTGACCATGGTTCGAGTCCCGGACCTGGTGGTTTGCTTTCTCACTTTATTTCTCTCTCTCTTTCTGTCCCCTCTCTGATGAAATTGAAATAAATAAATAAATAAGTATGCAGCTGTGGAGGGACCGGTCCTTAGAGATACTTATTCTCATATTTTCACCGACATCACTCAAGAAGGGTTTTTAAAAACTGTCTTTTATGATATATTCCTTTAATGAGTAGAGTCCTCGAAATGACAGTAATGTTTGTAAAAATTGTTAACAGGATGGAATCCGACGTGGTAGACCCAGAGCAGATACGGTTCGGGATTTAATAAATGAAGGCGAGCATTCATCCAGCAGAATCCGCTGCAACATCTGTAACAGGGTGTTTCCACGGGAGAAGTCCCTCCAGGCTCACAAAAGGACCCATACAGGTAAGCCGAGCAAACACCAGAGACTGTCAGAAGTAATGCTTAACTAAAAGCTGATCAGACGTTTGGGCCTATACATTCATTTTTTAGTTACCTTATATTTCCTCATGTTACCTCTATTGCTTGTGAAGTTTAAAAAAATAGGCATAGTGTATTAAGTTTCTTTTGGGTAGAGAATGGTGATTTTTTTTTTTTTTTAATTTTTTTTGGAGAGGTTTTTGCTATAGGGTGCGTGTGCTCTCCAGACAGACAGACAGAGAGAGAAAGCGAGAAATCACTCCCCGGGGGGATGGCCATGCTGCAATCCCTTCTCCTCCCTTCTCCTCTTGGGATCTTGGGCACGCACGCACATGCGCCTGGCGTGAGTTTTTAAGCCACCGGGTCCGGGACTCAAGTCGCGGTTGACTACGTGGGAGTCCAGCGACATAGCCATTACGCTAACTGCTGGTCCCGAGAATGGTGATTTTTATGAACACTGGTTCTATGTGAAGTATGAAATTATCATGGTAATTAACCTAGATGTCACAATGATATTATTGTTAAAGTTAGACCTACCCTTTACTTGAATTTTTTTGAGATACTCTTTTTTTTTTTTTAAGGAGATTTTTGCCTTAGGGCATGTGCACTTGCTGGAGAGAGAGCGACAGAGATAGTGAGAAGGAAAATGAGAAATCACTTCCCAGGGGGGATGGCCATGCCACAGTCCCTTCTCCTCCATTCTCCTCCTGGGATCTTGAGAATGTACACATACGTGCCTGGTGTGAGTTTCAAGCCACCAGTCCAGGAATTGGAACTGTGGTAGGCCACGTGGGAGTCCAGCAATGTATCGACTACGCCATCTGCTGGCCCATGAGATGCTCTTAAGTTATCTGTGTAATTGTTAAAATTCATTTGTAGGCTAGATACTTGAATAGTGATCATCAAGTTTTGTTTTTTAGCTTTGATATAGGGCATGTGTGCTCACTGGAGAGAGAGAAAGAGCAAGTGAGAAATCACTCTCCAGGGGAGATGGCCACGTTGCAGTCCTTTCTCTGGGTCCAGGACTCACTCCGTGCTGCTGGCTATGTGGAATCCAGTGCCTTAGCCTCCACACACCTGCTGACCCCTCATCAAGCTTTCAATAGAATTTCTAGAGTTGTCAGTGCACCATCAGAGTGTTTGCCCCGACCAATCTATAGTGATTTATGATTTCTCAGAATTAACCACGTTGTATGTGGCTATCCCAAGGTTACTGTACATCTTTATTGTATGTAAATTGTTCTTGCATTTTAAATGCTATATAGAGAGCCAGTAGGTAATTTAGAGGGTCTTTTCTTGTTCTCTCCATAAAGTTGGCTCCAGAGGAAGGAGCCTTTTAGTTCTGATGATTTATAGATGAGGAAACTGAGGTGCCAAAAACTAATTACCACGCTCTCCTGTACCCTGGAGTTGAGGGTATGCTGCTCAATACATGAACAATTAGTGCACGGGACTAGTGAGTGTTTGAAACGTGAATGGTCTACACTGAGATGGGCAGTGAGTGTAGAATCTACTTCTTATTAAAAAAAAAAAAGAGTGTACAATTCATTTGTTTTTACAGTTGGGTCCAGCTACTGGAGTATAGCAGTAGACAACGCTGTGTAGGGCTGGAAGCCATGTGGAAGGCTGGAGTTCAGTTCCCGAATCACTGGTGCACACCGCGTGCACGCGTACGTGCCTGTGATCCTAGCTGGCTGGGAAGGCTGGGGGACGACTGGGTGTGAGACTGTGTTTAGGGCGGTTATCTTTTTCTTTCTCTGTCTCATGAAGTAAAAAAAATAAGCACACTTTTGGTGAAAAATAATTTTTATTTTTATGTATTGAAGTGACAGTATTATAGATTGTACTCAATAAAATTAATTATTAAAATTAATTTTACCTGTTTCTTTTTATTTTCTCTTTTTTTCCCTTAAGGTTTTGCCACAGGGTATGAGTGTTCGCTAGAGAGAGGCAGAGAGACACTGAGAGGGGAAGTAAGAAATCACCCCCCACGGGGCATGACCACTCCACAATCCCTTCTCCATTTTCTTCCTGATATTTCGGGCACACACACACATATGCACCCAGCATGAATTTCTAGCTGCCAGGTCTGGGACTTGAACTGTATTCGACCATGTGTGAGTCCAGTACTTTTAACCATGCCACCTACTGGCCTCACCCTCCCCCTTTTTTTTTTTTTTTTTTCTTTTTTTTATGTAACCATGCCCCCTCCTGGCCTCCCCCTCCCCCTTTTTTTTTTTTTTTTTTACTTTTTCTAATGTGGCTTCTAGAAGTAATTCACATTATAGTCCTATTGGATGGTACTGGACCCTTAGTGCCCTGTTTTTCTTCTGTGTTTCTGGATATCACCTACTTCTTATTTTCTTACTTCTGAAAAGATACATTTTAATAATATTATAGGATATAGTCTTCTCCACCAGCCCACTGTATCATCTCTTACCTCCAGGTCTCTGCCTGCTGTGCTGTATACCAAGTAACTTAATCCAAGGGATAGTTAAGCTTTAATAGTATGAGGAGACTTCAAGAAGTCTGTAGAAAAATTGAATTAAAGTACGAGTTTATTTAGGAATATTTTGGAATCCATGGATAATTTTTTCATAATTGTTTTCCACGAACTTTTTGAAGACCTCTGGTATGTGTTATAAAAACACTTCCTCAGGACAGCAGATGGCATAATGGCTGTGTCGCTGGACTCCCATGAAGTCGTCCACAGTTCGAGTTCTGGACCTGGTGGCTTAAACTCACTCTGGGCATGTGTGCGTTCACTGGGGAGTGATTTCTCACTTTCTATCTCTCTGTTTCTTTCTGGCGAGTGCATGTGCCCTATAGCAAAAACCTCTCAAAAAAACAAAAAACAAAAAATACTTCTTGGAGGCCAAGAGGTGGCATGGTGGTTAAGGCACTGGATTCTCACATGGTTGACCGCAGTTCAAGTTCCAGAACTGGCAGTTTGAAAATCACGCTGGGTACATGTGCGTGTGTGCCCAAAATCCCAACAAAAGACTGCGTCATGGCCATCTCCCCGGGAGGTGATTTCTCACTTTATCTCTCACTGTCTCACTCCAGCAAACCCATGCGCCCTACAGCAAAAACCTAAAAAAACGAACTTTCCTCGGGCTGGCCCTGTAGTGCCTTGGTAATGCATGCGCCCTACAGCAAAAACCTAAAAAAACGAACTTTCCTCGGGCTGGCCCTGTAGTGCCTTGGTAATGCTTTGCTCAAGAGAAACTGGATCCCACATGGCAACTGTGGTTCGAATTCCCAGCCCTGTCAGCCTGAAACGTGCCAGGCATGTGCTATGGGTCCAAGATCTGACAGGCTACTAGAGGAATGGAGAAGAGTTTTATGGAATGACTAGACCCTATGGAAGGTGTTGATCTATCTAGCTCTCTCTCACACACACATGCTTATGCATGTACTCTATCACGAATAAAGAGAAGAGCTTTTAAAATAAACTTTTCCTGAGGACCAGCAGGTGGTGTGGTTAAGGTCCTGGACACTACCACATGGCCGATGCGGTTTGAGTCCTGGACCTGGTGGCTTGCTTTCTTACTTTCTCTCTCTCTCTCTCTCTCTCTCTGTGCCTCTCTGTGGTCAAATTAAAATAAATGAATGAATAAATAAAATAAATAAACTTTTACATTGCTATTTTAAATAATCCCCCATAGCCTGCTTTTTATTAATTCATGTCTAATTATCGTAACCATTTAGTATATCTAAATAATGAGAAACTTAAGAACTTGTTCTTGTACTTTGAGTCACTGGAAGAACCAATATATAACTGTTGATTAAAGGATATTTCCTCAAGGAGTAGCAAGTTTAACGCTTTTACAGCATTTTTGAGCACTTTGTCTGAGCCTAGCACTGTGGCATCTACAGGAATGGAAGTGAAACATCAGGTGCTATGGCTCTGCAGGAGACTGCCATGATGCGTAAACAGCATGGGACACTTGAGCTCAGGAAGGGATACAAGAGTTCAGTTATTTAGAGACAGGGGGAGGGGGAATGCTTGATTGACAGCCTGCAGGATTAGGCATATTGGAATGGCAAGAGAAAATAGGATTAGAACAAGATGAAAGCAGGTGATTTTTCTTTGTCCAAGCAGTGTAATAGGGTTTAGGGTGGCTCAGGGATGGTCAGGATGACAAAAGCAGTGTCCTCTGCCAGCCACACTAAACATCCTGGCAGGGCAGGGAGATAGGCCAGTGAGGGAGCTATGGGAGGTTCGTTCTAGGTGTAGGGGCTGCCACTCCGACAGGGGAAGGGGCATTGGGAGAGCAGAAGGGAGAGTAGTGAAGAATCAGCCTGAGCTAGTGATTGGGACAAAAGGAATGGGGTTAGCTGAAGATGGTAACTTCAAGGACTTGAGCCTGTACCAGAAAGCTCAAGGCCTAAAGAAAAAGCAGTGCTCCCCATCAGAGCCGAGATGTGTTTTATTGTTGTTTGGAATGATATAAATTTTGATCCCGCCTTTCCCCATTGGCTCAAGATATAATCTGTAACATCTGCCTATTAGGTGAGAGACCCTACCTATGTGACTATCCGGACTGTGGGAAGGCCTTTGTTCAAAGCGGACAGCTCAAAACACATCAGCGTCTTCACACCGGAGAGAAACCTTTCGTTTGCTCAGAAAACGGTACGGTGTTAGAAATTAAGTTTGTGGACTAACTAGTTGTGAGTTAGCAGCGGAAATTCCTTTACTTGAATTTTTTCAGGGGGAGAAGTATGATAAACATTTTATAAAACATAAGCTTTCTTTCTTGCTAATTATGATCCATGCTGAATTTCTTAGAAATCATTCAGTTTTAAATAAAGTATTCTTTTTAGATTAAGCCTTAAAAATACGATATCCAGATGTAGGCAGTAGAAAAATCTATAGCAGAGATACTGCTTTTAGCGTAGGCTTTTACCTTGCCTTTAAACTTTTTACTGTAAAAGTGAGATTAAGCATACTGTCTTTTAAATCTCTTACATTAATTTCAAAAGATACTTTTTTTAGGCACATTTTTACATAATCCTGTTTGAAAGTCAGTACAGTTACATCCTATTTCTCTGTAGTTTTCTTGATTATTGCCATAAATGCTTCAAATGTCTATACTTTTTGTCCAGTGAATTTGCTTAAGTATGTATACAGTGACTATGTCAGTGTTGGATACTAAATATTTAATTTGTTGTTAAAATTTACTTGTTACCAAGAAATGGGGAGAATGTTTTCACATTTGACAGCTTTTTCATCTTTGGGATATTTATTTATGCCAGGGTTCAAGAATGAATTTCCTGGGTCAGATGTTTTAATCATTTTTAAATCACTTTCTAGACGCTGGGCACATTTGCATGCCAATAACTGAGACCTGACGGAACTGCCTTCTTGTCCTCCTCATGGCATCAGTGAGATTGTGTTTAGGCCAGTCTGGTTGTTTTTCTTTTCCAACTTACAGAATGCTCAGTCTTACCTACTGTCTTACTGGTGAAACTGATCGTCTTCCATGTGTCTGTTTGCCAGATGGTCTGATTCTGACAAGTGGTTTCTCTGTGTTTTGAAGGCTGCCTGAGCAGATTCACCCATGCAAACCGCCACTGTCCGAAGCACCCCTATGCCAGGCTGAAGAGAGAGGAGCCCACGGACTCACTCAGCAAGCATCAGGCTGCAGACAACAAGGCTGCTGCTGAGTGGCTAGCCAAGTAAGGTGCCACCGTTCAGTGCTGGGAGATTTCTGCTATGGGCATGGGCTTATGCTAGGGGTGCAGATGGTTCTCATTTTAAATACGTTGCTGTTATGCACATTTTATAACATAATTTGAAATAGGCCTTTCTTTTTCTTTCTTTTTTAGATAATTATTTAGCCTTATTTATTTACTTGAAATTAATTTTATTTTGACCAGAGAGGGGGGGAGTGAGGGAGGGAAGGGGGGAGAGAGAGAGAGAGAGAGAGAGGTAAAGTGTGAAAGTTGACAGGCCCAAACCACACATTGGCCATGTGGGAGTCCTCTACTTTTAATCACCATGCCACCTGCTGGCCCCCCATTTTTCCTTTGTTAGGTTTTTGCCACAGGGAGCATCACTTAGCTGGAGACAGAGAGAGGGAAAGTGAGAAATCATTCCCCAGGGGGAATGGCCATGCTGCAGTCCCTTCTCCTGCATTCTTTCAGGATTCTGGGCATGCATGGACCCATACCCTGCATGATTTTCAAGCTGCTGGGTCCAGGACTCAAGCCATGGAGTCAGCCATGTGAGAGTCCAGCATCTTAACCACCACACCATCTGCTGGCCCTGAAATGGGCCTTTATTTTCTGCAGTGTTGTTATGAGTGGTGTTAGGATCTGTGTACGATAGAAAAGTATGAGATCATCATTAGTTGGAGTGCCCAGATCACAGTTTATTTTAAAAGGAAGAGTTTTCCCATTTTAAAAGAAGGGTTTGTATGCATTTTATTTCATGTGTAACTCTTCTCTCTCTCTCTTTTTTTTAAGAGATTTTTTGCTATAGGGTGCCTGTGCTGACTGGAGAGACAGAGAGAAAGTGAGAAATCACCTCCAAGGGGGATGGCCACACTGTAGTCCCGTCTCCTCTCTTCTCCTCTTAGGAGTTTGGGCATTCATGCACACACACTTAGCATAAGTTTCAAGCCTCCAGGTCTGGGACTTGAACCACAGTCTGCCATGTGGGATTCTGGTGACATAACCATTACGCCATCTGTTGGCCCTCCTCTTCCCATTTTCTTTATCTTAGAATTAGTTATATGCTGATTAAAACCAGGATAGAGGGTAGAGGTTCTTTTAAAATGAAATTCCAAAAAGCACCCAATTTAATTTTTTTAATGGCAACAAGGGGGGAGGGGACAGAACAAGAAATTCTCTTAAGGGTCTATGATTTAAGGACTCTTTCTAAAATGCCAGTATGATCCTCAGAATAAACGTGAAGTCCTTTATTATGGCATTCAAAGCCCTTCATAATCTGGTCTCTGGTGACTTGCTAGTTTTTTTTTTTTTTTTTTTTTTTAAGTTTTTGCCCTAGGACATGTGTTTTAAAGAGACAGAGACAGAGAGAAAGTGAGAAATCACTCTCCAGAGGGATGGCCACACAGCAGTCCACTCTCCACTCTGGACTTTGGGCACACATGCATCCTGTGTGACCTTCAAGCCCCAGTACGAGGACTTGAACTGCAGTCAACCATGTGGGAATCCAGTGCCTTAACCACCAGCCACCTGCTGGCTCCTGTAAAGGCCTTTTTTTGTTAAAGAGAGTAACTGTGAGGGAACCAGCAGTTAGCGTAATGGCTATGTCGCTGGACTCCCACGTAGTCGACCGCGGTTTGTGTCCCGGACCCGGTGGCTTAAAAACTCACGCCGGGTGCGTGTGCGTGCGTGCCCAAGATCCCGAGAGGAGAATGGAGGAGAAGGGATTGTGGCGTGACCATCCCCCCTGGGGGGTGATTTCTCGCTTTCTGTCTCTATGTCTCTCTCTCTGTCTGTCTGGCGAGCGCACGCGCCCTACAGTGAAAATCTCTCAAAAAAAAAAAAAAAAAAGAGTAACTGTGAGAAGTTTCGGTCTACCATCTAACTCCTGTGTCCGCACTCCACGCAGGTACTGGGAAATGAGGGAGCAGCGCACCCCCACCTCGAAAGGCAAGCTGGTTCCAAAGGCCGACCAGGAGCAGCAGGACCCCCTGGAGTACCCGCAGTCAGACGAGGAGGACAATGAGAAGAGCGGCGCCCAGAGGCGGCTGCAGGAGCAGCGCGAGCGCCTGCACGGGGCCCTGGCGCTCATCGAGCTGGCCAACCTCACCAGCGCGCCGCTGCGCCAGTAGCCGGACACGGACTGGCCCCCGTGCGGGAGTACCGCCCGGCATCCTGAAACAGTAGATCCTTGGGCATAAGCTAAGCACCTTATTTGCTTATCATAGGCTGCTATTCTATAGAAACTTATGAAGAATGTCATTGCCCCAGTATGCGGGGTGAGAGAGAATTGCACTTTTTTTTTATATGGAAATGGATTTGATGTAAAGCTTAAAATATTTTGTAAATACGGACTGCACAGTACAGGGTAGAAAACTACATATTGTGGGAAGCTAGATTTTGCAAGTTTAATGCATTCATTGGAAGCAGTTCTCACAGGAAGCACTTTCTGAATAAGACATTTGTGTGAAAAACAGAATGGTACAAATCGCCAAAGAAGGTTGAAATGGATTATTTATAAGATCATTTTTAACAATGTATATTAGCATGTTTAACAATACTGTAAACACTGAAACAGGCAAGAAAGTCTAAGATATTGTGTAAGATATATATTTTTAAACTGCAAAATAGTGTGCTGAATAAAGCTAGAGAAATGGGAAGCTATTTTGGAAGATGTTCTAAGTTAGGGACTTGGAAGGAAACAGACATTGGAGGATCTTGGTGAGACGCATAATGGTTCAGAATTTTTGAAATTGGAGTAAAATCAGTCTTATTCTATCTTTCTGGGGCTTTATGACACATTATAATGTTTAAATTGGAAAAGCACTTGTCATCTTTAACATGTTAACTTGGGAACTTTTGCACATTTCACATTTCTCTTTTGCTGAAATTGAGTGATTAATCTTGCAAAGTCTAGGTGACATGGTAATTGGTCATTTTACAAAAACAGACGTTACAGACCCTGTAGTGAGATTTGGCACTTAGATTTTTATGAATAAAAGGGATATCTGCAGGGTTGTTTTGTAGTGAAATGTTTTAGATTTTTTGTTAGCAACACTAAATTTTAATTGTACTGCTTATTTAGTATTATTAGCGAGTGGAAGCCTCCATATTTATATTTTCAGTGCGTAAAGCCACCTTCTCGCTTTACTTCAGAATAATATGCCAAGCTATTTTGTGTTCACTAAATTTAGCTGTCAGTTAAACACTGCAGAAAATAGTAGCTACTCAAATAAGTAGGCTTCTGGAATAGTTCTAACTGCAAGTGTGTTAACTTGTGTGGTGGTTTTAAACCCTTTTTCTCAAGTAGATGAAGTTATTAAACATCACTTTATGTACTGAAGCATGAACAGAAAAACCAAGAGCTGAGCAGTCCACCTCCTTTATGTAGCAAAAATCGCCATCATTTGACTTTTGTGATAAGCAGAAATGAATGACATGCGTAGCATGGTAATTTATAGATTGCTTAACTGGAGTGAAACTCAGATTAACAGGGGAAATAGGGGCTCTTAGCGCCTTTTCTCTTTTTTGAGGTGAAGTGGTATCATACCGATGTAGTTTAAATATTATCTAGAATGTAGGCTTCTTTATCCAAACACCCCAGTGTTGCAGTACACAGATAGTTTAAGATACGTAGCCACAGGGGAGGGGAGTTATGTAAATGTCTTGAAGAGCGAAAGTATGAAAGATATGATAGTTACAAATAATGTGTATGCTGAGGACATACTTTAAAAATGTAATTCCTCTGTACAGTAAATTGCAAATCTTTAGGATTTTTTTTAATAAGAGAATTTATATTTGTAATGGTCTAAGAATTTTGTTCGTAATCTGGTATCTCGAATTTTAACGTGGAGCACTTAAAAGGACGGTAAGAGAGACTGTAGCTTCTGAATTTCCTTTTTAGGTTTCAGCATTTTCTCTAGAATTTTCCCCCTCAAATAGATTTCGATGAACTAAAAAAGCAACACTCATCAGTCGTGGGAAATTTAAAATTTTATAAACTTACCTGAAGAGTAGTAAGACTTTCAAAACGATGAATATTTGCCAATTCACAGTTAAGATTTAAGGCCTTCAAAAACAAGAGTTTTTACTTGTTTTTCCAGTCAGCTTTTGTCAACTACACTAGTTATATTCACAAACATTTTTTATTTGTATAATTGGAACAGTTTAAGAAATTATTATAACTATTTACTATAAAACATTTAAAATGTTCTTTCTCGATATAAGCTATGTTACTTGGACAAAATACATTGGCATCTAAAATTTGAGGTGTGTTAAGACTGCTTTTTGTTTTAAAAATGTGGTTTACATTCAAATTCGTGAAGTGTTTTATGCTTCCTATGGCTAAATTGTAGTTTGGCAGAGTTAACAGCATACGAATAAACATGCTGTAATTTTAAAAGATGCTTTGAATAAAAATTTATTTTAATTTAAATTTTAAAGTATATGTTCATTCTTGAAATCTTTATCATTTATTTTCCTATCAAAAATAGAATTGCCATGATATAAAATAGTCTTTAAAAGAGGGCTGGTGCTCTGTGACCTAGGGGTTAAGAGAGCTGGATCCCACATGGCTGACTGCAGTTCAGATCTCGGCCCCAGAAGCTTGAAAACCAGCAGGCGCACGTCCGTGCCTCAGATCCTGACAGGATGGAGAAACGGAGGAGAGACTGCGGCGTGGCTGGCCATGCTGTGTTGAGGGGTGCTTTATCTTTCTGTTTCTCTCTGGTGAACAAATGTGCCTCTGACAGTTAAAAAAAAAACCAAACAACAATAACACAAGCAAGTTTAAAAAATAGAAACATCATGGGGCCAGCAAGTGGCATGGTGGTTAAGGCACTAGACTCCCACAAGGCTGACTGCAGTTCGAGGCCTGGATTTGGTGGCTTGTGTTCTCATTTTCTCTTTCTCTTTTTCTCTCTGTATGTCTCTCTCTGGTGAGTGCATGCGCCCTATAGAAAATTAAAAATAATAAAGAAAATTAAGTAAATCTTGAAAAAATAGAAACATCTCTTATAGTCATACATTCTTCCATCATTATTATTTCAGTGCATTTTATATTTCACTTCAGTCTCATTCCAGGCATCTTTTTTGCATAATTGTGACCATAATGTGAATTATATTTTCTTACTTTAAAACTACGGCCTTTTAGATTATAGATATGTAACTTTCTCATCTGGCTCATTATTACAGTGTTAAAAACACACTGGTACAGATACATATTAAACTATTGCCAGCTCTATCCCATACCTTAAAGTGAATTAATAAAGAACTAGGATTTCATTTCACTTATTCAGGAAGTGTTGAATTTGGGGTCACCTCTCTCCAAGAATCTAGTGAAAGCCTGTTTACTTTGATCAAGAGTAACTCTTAATGTGAGCTGGGATTTAAACAGGGAAAGGACAGGACTTTGACAGTGATGATAAGGGCCTGGAAGTGTGCATATAGAAGCAAATTAATAAAGAATTAATTCTAGAATTAATGATGAAGGCTGTCATTAAAGTGACTTTATTTTACTGTTCACATAGTCAAAGCTTCTTTGAAGATTCAGTGGAAACTTAGTTGGAATTCTCGAGGAAATTAACCAAAGTAACTCATTTCAGATTTTGGGGTCAACTTGAATATGAATGCATTTTTTATTTTAAAATGGATTTCTATGTGTTTTCTTTACAAATTTATTTTCGGGACCAGCAGATGGTGTAATGGTTAAGTTATTGGACTTCCACACAGCTGACTGTGGTTCGAGTCCCAGACCTCATGGCTTGAAACTCAGGCCGGGTGCATGTGTGTGCATGCCTAAAATCCCGAGAAGGAAATGGACTGTGGCATGGCCATTGCCCCTGGGGGATGATTTCTCGCTGTCTCTCTGTCTCTCCAGTGAGCACACATGCCCTATAGCAGAAATCTCTTAAAATTTTTTGTTTTCTCTATATCATGATAGAGCATATATGTGTACATGTGTGAGGAAAGCACATGTGTCTGGTCATGCTGCAAGCTCCTCCCTCCACTGGTCTGCCAGCTTGCCAGACCCTGGCACTCATTCGCATACCTGGTGAGTTTCAGGCTAACAGCTGGGAACTCCAACTGTGGCAGCCATGTGGGACCCAGCTTCTTTTGAGCAGCATATCACTACTGTGCCAAGGAGCTGGCCCTGTCTTCTTGTTTGAGCAATTGGGGATGTTCTGGCTGTTTAGTGCCAGCTGTTTGGCTAAAATTCTACTTTAGCTCTAACCCAGGCTGAAAACATTTCTCAGTTACCAGCCTGTAGAGTGCCTGCATCGGGAAAACAAGGCATCTATATAGTTAGGCCTTTTTTTTTTTTTTTTTTTTTGAGAGTTTTTTGCTATAGGGCACATGTGCTCACCAGAAAGACAGAGAGAGACAGAGAGACAGAAAGCGAGAAATCACCCCCCAGGGGGATGGCCACGCCACAATCCCTTCTCCTTCATTCTCCTCTCAGGATCCTGGGGACACACACACATGCACCCAGTGTGAGTTTAAGCCACTGGGTCCAGGACTCAAACCTTGGTCGACTACATGGGAGTCCAGTGATATAGCCATCATGCTATCTACTGGTCCCTGGCTCCAACTTTTATTTAACTTGAAATCTTTAGCTTTTTCAAAAAGCTTAAATTCCAGGGCTGTCGTGTAGCCCTGTGGATAAGGGAGTCAGATTGCATATGGCAGATTGTAGTTCCAGTCCTGGCCAGGCAAATTGAAAAACGCCAGGCAAATGTGCGTGCTCCCAGATCCCTCAGGAATGGGGAAAGGGAGAAGGGGCTGAAGTCACCACCTCCATTGAGAGGTGTTTTCTCTTTCTCTCTGGAGTGGACATTCCTTTTGGCAGTTAAAGAAAAAAGGGTAGGGGCCAGCTGATGGCATGGCAATTATGCTGCTGGACTCCCACATGGCCGACCCTGATTCAAGTCCTGGACCCAGTAGCTTGAAACTCACGCAGGGCGCCTGTGTGTGCGTGCTCTGTATTGCCGGAGGATAATGGAGAAGGGATTGAGGCATGGCCATCCCTGGTTGGGGGGGGGGAAGGAAGTGATTTCTCACTTTCACTGTCTCTGTCTCTCGAGTGCATGTACCCTAAGGCCAAAACCTCTACAAAAAAAAAAAAAAAAAAAAAAAAAAAGAAAGAAAGAAAAGAAAAAGGGAGAAAGGCTTAAAGTCAGGTCTTTAAAGTTAATTATTCTGACTGGAAATACGGGACACTGACTTGAAAACATGCTAAAGTAGCCCCCATGCTGCTTAATGTGCATGCGGTAGGAAAACACAGGCCCTGCTGGGAGGCGGGAACCAGCCCTGCAGCTAGACAAGGGCAGCTCTGGGCCTTCACCTGCCCTGTCCTTGCCAGTCCACTCCTAGGTATTTACAGAAGAGAAATGAAAACATACTTTCAGGCCAACACTTGTCTGCGAATGTTCGTGGAAGCTTTTTTCATAACAGCCCTGAACTGGACTCAGCCAACAAGCCCATCAACTGACAGCTGGGTACAGAAGGGGTGGTCATACTCAGCGATGGAAGAACATGGGAGAGCTGCAAAAATAATACCCAGGAGCAGAAAAGCAGCCTTTGGTACATACTGGTAGACATCTCAAGCCTCGACTCATAAAACTGTGTGTGTTTCATTCACTTTATGTCCATTGTACGCGAAACAAAAAGGTATTGTAGAAGGGAAAAAAAATAAAACCCCAAACCAAACCAATCCGGCGACTTACGGAAGTCTTTCTAGCCAAGAGAGCAGGCTGCAGGAAGGTCGAGCTTTCATCGCTCCCAAACCGGTTTCCGGGCCTCTCTCTCCGATCCGGAGGGGCGCCTGGACCCGGGACACTCCTGAGGATAAAGTCCGGGCGCCGACCCTCCCCGCCGGCCTCGGGGCACTCGCGGGGGCGGGCGGGGGC